CGTGGAAGTCAGAGTTGCAACCCCATGCAACTTGGAGCAGTGGCTTTGGAAGCTGCAAACAGACTCAAATTCTGAGGCCATACAAGCCTGGCCAAAGAGAGTAATAATTCAGTATCCAGTTAATATTGCGCACGTCTCTTCACTCACCAAAAGACATGCTCACTGGTTCAGCCAGCATGAAGTGGCTGTAGACTCCATGGGTTACAATAGTGAGGTTTGTCTTCTGCAATGACTCCTGTTGGGAGTGAGGCACAGGCCAAAATGACCCTCTGCTTAATTGCCAGGATGACATACAGCAGCTAGCGGTAAAGCTTCCAGTGCTTGAAACTGTGACTGGCATAATTCAGCAGCAAAGGGCTCTTCTGAATTGCCCTCCTGCGTGTTGTTCACTGCTCTCTCCTCGCAGGCACACCGTAACCATGAGCTTTAGAAACCTTGCAACTGGGAGCATACTACACAAGCGTTCAGTCGCTTCTGGGGTAAACTGGATGCACATTAGATGTGGTTAAGATGAAGGGCTGAAGAACTGCAAGAGCTTGTTTCTACAGATCCCCATTTTGTAATTAGATAGCTAAATGGAGCTACCCTGAGTTTTTTTTCTTCACAAGTTTTTCCTTTATTTTTTTAAAGAATCATTTCACATTATTCCACCTATGTCCATTAGCATCATTCGTCCTCTCAAAGTCCTTCACCAATTTAAGATTTCCTTACAAACAAGTCCAATCTTTTAATTCCTAAGAAAAATTCAACAATGTCAACAAAATACTAGTGAAAGCCATCAGTTTGCAGTCCAGGTTAAAACCTCTCCATGTATCCACAGGAGATAAATAAAAGAGGAAATGAAGACTCTTTCACATATCTCCTCTGAAGTGGGCATGGTTTAGTGGTGGACTTGGCAGCATTAGGTTAATGGTTGGACTCGATGACCTTAAAGGTCTTTTCCAACCTAAATGATTCTGTGATTCTATGCTCCTGGGTTTTTTGCCGAGTTGGTTGATGAAGAGATCCTCTCTTGTAAAACTTTCTCTGACCCGTGAATATTGTTGTCTGACACAATCTTCATTGTTGCTGCATATCAGCAGAGAAATGTGCACCAGAAACTTTCATTAATCTGAGCAGGGTTGGTGATCAGAATTTTACTCGTCTGTTATTGCCAAGTGCAATATCAAACCTCAGTGGGTATTTCTCTTCACCGCAGACCATGTCAGTAGGAAAATAATCAGTGTTGATTAAACACTTTGGGTTTAATTGGAGCAGCTCTTAAGCTACTTGAACCTGGTCTATGCCCTTGCTCCATTGTGAACCTTTAATACTAAGTGGGCCTCTTAACTCCCATCAAACTAGATGCATATCTGCAAGGATAAGGTTTCTAAATGTCAGGCATGAAGCCAGCCTCCAGCTGCAAAATACAGAACTGAAAAGACAGTCTGTTTCTGGGATATCACTTCAGTTCTGTCTGGATGTCTATTAGCTATCAATTTAAAATAAACCTGTCGCTGAGCGATGGGCATGCTGTGCCTTCAAGATGGGCTTGCTCAGAACTAGTTACTGCCATCACTGAGGAAAGGATGAAGATTTCGGCACTAACAAAATCAAAATTCAGTTGTGTCTTTTATTAGCACGGCATTTAGTATTTTGCATTTAATTTGGGGACTAAATATATATTAAAGATTCGCTTGGCTGTCATCTTGTCTTAGTTGTGCATGATGCTTCTTGATAAGGGCTCTTTGCAGGCTAAGAAGGATTTGAGTACTGTTTGATTACAATAATGGTTGCAATGCTATGGAAAAATCAGATTCAGAAGTCTTTAAATGTAAGTGTGAAGAACTCCTGCCACCTCCAGCTGGGATTACCAGGTTTCTCTTGAAGATGTCTAAAACCTGACCTGCCTTTCTCTGGGTAGCTAGCCAAAATCTGTGGGTTTAATTACTCTATTGTTAGTATAATTAAAGAGCACTTTAAGCATACAACATTGAAACAGTATTTGCATTTTACTAATCTTACCTGCTTGCTTTTAAACAGCTATGAACCTGAGCTATTTCCTGGCCTTATTTATAGGATGGTCAAACCAAGGATAGTGTTGCTTATCTTTGTGTCAGGAAAAGTTGTACTGACTGGTAAGTGGTCTCTGTATATCTGTAATCAAGTGCCTCCGTATCTTCTGAAAAAGCATTTAAATTGAACATTAGCTAAACTAATATCTTGCCGCAGTAAAGCCACTCGGTGAACTTTTTTAATGCTTGCTGCTGCTTATTTGTGAAAACACAGATGAGTGTTTTCTGCAGATAACAATATCAGTATTGTTGCACTAGAATCTTGTACTGCTTCATACAGCGTCTCAGATTTCCATGTTGTTAACCTGAGTATCTCTATTCAAAGTATAATTCCATGTGTCGATGTACAGAATCCCAACAGGATGCTGACATGCTAGTAACTACTCAGTCAGTTAAATAAAACTATCACAATAAGCAATTTAAAATTGCTTGAACAGGAAGCAAACTTCTCAAAACACTTCACTGACAACATTTAGTAGGGATTATTAGAGGAAAGGGTGGAGATCTAAGAACTTGTTCCGGACTGTTTGGCAAAACGCTCATGAGGCAAAAGCCTTGCTGTGTAAGTATGCTCAGCAGATACTGTCCCTCAGATCCCATGTCAAAAAAGTTGAATTCCTGAGCATGTGTTCCTAACACATTTTTTTGTAAAGCTCATTAAAATACTTTTATTCAGATGTATTGAAAGATAAATGATACTTGTTCCCAGAGGACCCGAATGCAATATTCACAACACAGCTTTGAGGTACATGAAAGACAAAAGCGAAGCGCCTGCCTTTAGCCAGAGATTCTTACAATCATAAATCATGAACGAGCTCAGCTAACTGAAGAATGGGGTACTCTGTACAAAGCCTAAATGTTTTCCACTCCAGTGTCCCCCCGTCCCCTGCCCCCCGCCTTCTTCTTAGGTCCAGTAAAATCATACTGGCCAGTTCCATTCCACTGATACTTGCATTTTTGGGTACACTAATTGCGACACCCTCAAGTGTGCAGCAGGCCCAGAAGGACTAAGGTAAGTCCTTGTCTGTGAACACCGGGCCCAACTGTAATGGCAAAACTGAATTTGAGCTATGAGGTGTTGTGGGTTTTGGTTTTTTTTCCCTTATCAAGAAAATAACTTGCAAGTAACTTTACTTTTGAAAGTAAAAGTTGTAGTAATGCAGATGAATTAGTCATGTCTAAGTGTGTTCTGAGGGAAAGGTTTACACATCCATCCCGAGTGCTGCTTAATCCAACTGCTAGTTCATTTAAAAGCAGTCTTTTGTAGCTAATGTTTGTTGCACTGGCGTGGTAGAGTATTGTCACTGTCAAGGAATGTTCCTGCCTACTACAATACAGTTAGTGTACAAGACTTGGTAGGAAAGGTTTAGCTTGCAGTAACACAGAAAAGGCTAGCTTTGAAAGCTTTGGTAGGGCACCTGTGATTAAAAATAAAAATGCTCCTCAGAACTGGAGGAGGGGAGTACTCAAACTGTGGGGCAACTTCCAGTATGGAAATAAATGCCCTTCATTTCTTGTTTCTGTCTTTCCACTTACCTTATCAACAGGCAGGGCTGTTGCTGCTAGGTAGATAATTCCATGATTCTTCTCAGGTGTTGCTTTTTTACCCAAATCTAATGTTTTGCACCTGTCAAGAGTAGCCAACTGCTCTTTTGGTTCCACAGATTAACCAAAACTAGTCTAGCCTTAAAGCAAAGCAAGCTAGAAATTGTTCTTTGTGAGGTGGCAGAAGTATTGTAGAAATTCTGCCTTAAACTAATAGTAAGTTGCTTTTAAACTCCTGTGTTTGTTCATGGTTTGTAATCTTATCATTAGGTTTGAGCTGCATTCAGTTATTCTCAACACTCTGTTAATTCTTAACCTTTTTTCTTTTTTCCTAAATGTCTTTCTAGGAGCAAAAGAGCGTTCTGAAATCTATGAGGCATTTGAGAACATCTATCCCATTCTAAAAGGTTTCAAGAAAGCATCATAACATGGCCCATAAAGCAACTAAGAATAATACCTGGGTTTGTATAACTGTGCGTGGAACAGAAGCAAGAGTATTCCTGGACCCAATTGCACAGTTGTGGATTATTGAGCAAATGATGCTGTTCTGAATGCTATAAATGCTGATCCCTTTCCATAGTTTGTGAAATGTTTTTTTTTGCTTTCAGATTAGCTGTCTGTAATCCACTTGAGTTCTGACAACTTCTGTCAAGCTGAAAAATTTGCTAGATGAATGTACTTTTAATAGAATGTATATTAAGGTGGCACTTAAAGAATTCTGAAACAGGAAACCATGTGTCTTTTCCCCTGTTGAACTGGTGAACCAACACTGTACCTCACTAACTTTATCAAAATCCTCAGCTTAAGTGTGCTGAAACCTAGCTCCTGCAACGTTGTATTTTCGTGTTTAAACTCAAAATGTATTTTTGTCTACAATATAGCTTACAAAATCCGGCATGACTTGATTTCAGTGTTTTGAAGATGGTGATTGTAGAAGACATGTACCAAATCCCTCTGACGCTACCAGTTGGATAAACTCTTGTGTGTAATGGTGTTGGTGCTCCCTTTACAGAGGAGACATTCAAGGCTTCTGGCAGTGCTGGAACATACCTAGAAAGTCTGTGAGCGGAGGGGTAACTAAGCAAATTATCTAATTTGTCATAACACAAATTAGATTTTAACAAAATGGTACCCACTTGTATTAGTGAAGTCCCCTCAGATGATGGGAGTTTGTTGCTTGGCCCAGAGAAAAAGATGTTGGTTAGGGAACTGCCTTTAAAATGGACTTGAGGAAAATACGGTGGGGTTTAAGTTTTATGTCCAAGTGAACTCAAGGCTTCCTTTGCAAGAGGTGTCATGCTCAGATGGGTGATGTGACTAGGAAGAGTGTAAAGATTATCCCTTGACTGTTCTGGTATCCCCTATGATTCCCTGGAAGCAAGGGGCTTTTTTTTCCCCAGAACAGGGCTTTGGTGCTGCTGGGGTTTGTCTTGTGTCCTCCCCGTCTTCCCTGCTGAAGATGGGACAGATCTGTGTCGTGGTTTAGCCCCAGCCAGCAGGTCAGCACCACGCAGCTGCGCGCTCATTCCCCCTACCCTGATGGGATGGGGGAAAGAATTGGAGGAGTAAGGGTGAGAAACACTCCTGGGTTGAGATAAGAACAGTTTAATAATTGAAATGAGGTAAAAGAGTAATGATAATAATAACAATATAATAATAATATACAAAGCAAGTGATGCACAATGCAATTGCTCACCACCCGCTGACCGATACCCAGCCCGTCCCTGAGCAGCAATTGCTGCTCCCCTGCCACCCCCCCCAGTTTCCATACTGCCCATGACATCATATGGTATGGAATAGCCCTTTGGCCAGTTTGGATCAACTATTCTGGCTGTGCCCCCTCCCAGCTTCTTGTGCCCCTGGCAGAGCATGGGAAGCTGAAAAGTCCTTGACTGGCATAAGCAGTACTGAGCAACAACTAAAAACATCAGCGTGTTATCAACATTCTTCTCATCCTAAATCCAAAACACAGCACTGTGCCTGCTACTAGGAAGAAAATTAACTCTATCCCAGCCAAAACCAAGCCATCTGTCAGGAAACTCCCTGAGCCACTAGAGGTTGCTGTTAGATGACTTAAGTGTAACCCAGGCCAAAAGCTACCTCTGTCCTGGATGGAAATGCACAATACGGGCGATGGCTTAGTACGGAACAGGCTGTCATTGCCTTGCTGGGCTTAGTTTTGCTGTCACAAGTTTATTTCTGATTCGGTGAGGATGTGATTTCAACTTCTGTGTCTGTAGTATGTCTCACAAGTGCTTTTATAACTGTCTCTCTGCTCCTCTGGGAAAAAAGTTTGGAAGACTTCATGCACTTCCTTATGATAAACTGGTCTAAACTATGTTATCGGTTTCTGTGTCACAGTCAAACTGTGGATTTCCACACTCAAATCTATTCTAAACAGAGGCTTACTTTTCTGTTTGTTTTCTAAAGCTGCAGACTTTCCACAGCTACGGGCTGGATTTTTATTTGCGCTGTAGCTGTAAAAGCTGATAAGCTTGAGTGACAATAATCTTTTTGCAAGTGAAAAACAACCTGCTCTTATTGGGATGCTGGAAAAAGTTTATCTAAGATGAGTCCGCTTCAAGAAACTGCATTTTAATTAAGAGCTTGCCACATGATTTCACCAGTGAAGTTACTGCTCTTTAAAAGTGTGGCTGAAGGCTTAAAGATAAGAAGTGTGCTCTGTGCCTTTTCACTGAGCTACTGATAACTTAGTGTTTGCTATGGTTGTCCTAAAAACAACTACATAGTGCTGTTCATGCTAGTGTTTTGTAGCACTTAAATACGCTAGGAAGGGGAAACAATATAGGCTGGGATTCTCTCTCTTTTTTTTTTTTTAAACTGGGACATGTTTTTATTTTAAGGTTTTTTAGGGGGGGCGGTTCAGGGAGTATTTCTTTAAGTTATTCTGGCTTGCATGGACTCTGTCTCTCTTCTAATTGCATGGTGTTTCCCGCTCTATCCTCACCAGAGAACTGGCTTCTAGGTACTAGTTGATCATACCTGTTTTACTCTTGATTCTGGCTCCAACCTTGAGGCTGGGGTGAGGAAGCCTACTAGCCTGTCACTCTTAAGGATGTGTATCAGTATTTGCCACTTTTATACAAATTGTTCTTGATGTTACTGTAAATATATCCCCCAGGGACTGACTTTGGGCATAGGCAGGCCATGTGGCAGTGTTACTGGCTGGCTGTGGTGCAGGGGCCACCCTTGGGACTGCAGTGAGGATAAACTGCAGTGGGACCCCCACCACTGCCCTGCTGCTGGCCAGGGTGTCCCACCCGGGGAAGTCAAATGATGCCTCTCCTGGGTTACAGACTAGTGCTGTACCTGTATCGGGTCCATGTGAACACCTGGGAAGCAGAATAAAACCGCCTTAGAGATCCTTTCCAATCTTAATGATTCCTAGGTTTTACTTTCATTAAAAATAATCCAGCCACCAAGCCAGGAACATGAAATTGCTACTCTACCCTTAATTGGTTTAGTGGTGGACTTGGTAATGTTAAGAGTCTACCCTTAATTGGTTTAGTGTGGACTTGGTAATCATAGAATGCTTTGGGTTGGAAGGGACCTTGAGAGATCATCTAGCCCAACCCCCCTGCAGTGAGCAGGGATTGACCCCATCCAACCATTAACCTAACACTACCAAGTCCACCACTAAACCAATTAAGGGGAGAGTAATAATTTCAAATGTTCGGTTAATGGTTGGACTGGATGATCTTAAAGGTCGTTTCCAACCTAAACAATTCTATGCTGCTTACCGCAGGCTTTAGTAAGCGTGATGGTAGACCTGCAGTGGATGTTTTATTTTCCTTCAGCTTTTGCAAAGAAAAGAAAACCGCACAATTTCCTTACCAGGCCCAGCGGAGGTGTGCTGGCTGACCTGCCTGCTGCAGGGCAGGCCCCGTGCCCCTGCTAGCCCACCTCCTCCTCCGGGAGCAGAGAATCATAGAATTGTAGAATCATTTAGGTTGGAAAAGACC